GTTTTAGATTTTAGATTTATAGAAAAACCAAGCAGATGGTACAGAGAGCTCCATATACTCACACCCAGTTTCCCCTATTCTTAACATCTTACATTAGTGTGGTACATTTATCACAACTAATGAACCAATATTGATTATTGTTATTAACTAAAGGCCATACTTCATTCAGATTTCCTTCGTTTTTACCTAATGCCCCTTCTTTGTTCCAGGATCTTATCCAGGACACCACATCACATTTGGTAGTTATGTCTCCTTAGGCTCCCCTTGGCTGTGACTTGTGTTAATGGCCTTGACAGCTTGGAGGAGTACTAGTCAGGAATTTTGATGGAATTTGTCCTATGTTCTTCTCATGATTAGACTCGGGGGTTTGGGGGAGGAAGACCATAGAGGTAATGTGTTATTTCATTACATCACATAAAGGGTACATATTATCAACGTGATAGATTAACAGAATAGATGTAATAATAACAATATGATAATATAATATAGACTAAAAGATTGGATTAAATGGTTTGTGTATTTATTGGTTTGGTTTTTGTGGTACTGTATTTCTTTTTCCCCAAAGAACCAGTGCTCAGATTTTTTTTATTAGTTCTATTATTTTTCTATTTTATTATGCCTAATTCATGTTTTTTCATTCTTTTTCACTTACTAGTATAAGTAAAACAGTCATGATTTCCTCTGAGCACTATTTTAGTGAGGTCCCACAGATTCTAATACATGGAATATTTCTTATGATTATTACTCTCTAGGTATTCTGCAATTTTTATATCAATCTCTCTTTTTAAAATCTGGGTTGTTTAAAGGAGAGTTTATTTTTATTTATTTTTTTAGCCATTTTACTGTTTATACCATAGTCATATTTAAATTGGCAAAACTGCTCCATGACAGACAGGACAGAGACCTGCCCTGCAAAGAAAAAATCAGTGAAGGTTTTTTTAAAGCTTGAGGAGAGAAGTACCGCAGTAACACAGGGGTGGCTGCAGCAATCTGACAACAGCGCCAAGGTGTGCAAGTGGGTAGGAATAAATGGTGCTCCAGCAATAGTTGGCCTACTTATGTTGGCTGAGACCCTTGCTGTTTCCTAAGGAGAATTTCCTAATATGCTTGGTAAGCTGATCACTTATAACACAGATATAAATCGAGTAGGGTGACTAAAAGAGAGTTTTTAAAATGTTCATGTGGTAGCGTTTTATGTTCCATAATTTTGTGATTAATTTCTAGTTTTTCTTCTATGTTATCAGATTCTGTATTATTTCAGCTTTTTTGGTGAGGTTTTATTTGTGGCTTAATATATGAGGAAAATTTTTAAAAGCATACATCATTTAAAACCATCTTATTAATTATGCAATTTTGGTTTTTCTGTCTTTACCTAATTTGGTCCCTTGATCTGTCATGAGCTAAAAGAAGTGAATTAAAATCAACTGACTCTACTGTGTATCTGTCTGTTCTTCCTTGTGTTTCCTGTAGCTTGCTCTGAATTTGGGGGCTGTTATTTGGTGTATTAGGTCTTCAATTGTGGGCCATATTCTTATTATTATAAAGTGTTCTTTTCTGTCTTATTTAAAACCATTTACCCTGAATTCAACTTTACTTGACTATATTAAGGTCATAGTGCCTGTTTAATTTGCACTTACCCGGTATATATTTGCCCTTCCTTTATTTTCAAAATTGTTGAATTGCTTTGCTTTGGGGATGTCTCTTGTAGGAAGCATACTACTGTTGGCTTTTGTCTTGTTCTCCAATCTTAGAACCTTTTCTTTTTAGTAGTATTCTCACTACTAAATTAGATTTACACAGCTGGTATTTTGGTGTTACTTTTCCTATCATATGTCTTTGTGTTTTTGCTTCCATTGCTTTTTAAAACAAAATCTTTCATGGTATGGTCTGTTTATTTTGTGTTGTGCTCCTTCTGACAACTGGAAGGTTTGTATTTTTAGTTTTTCTGGAGGTAGCCTTTAGAATATATAAAAAGCATTAACCTTTTTAAAAAAAGAAAAAAATACTGTACTAGTTGTCTCACTTCTGAAAAAAAGTGATCATAAAGTTAGTTTACAAATTTGGTCATAATTTTTATCTGCTTTGTGATAGCTATTTTTCTGGTGAGTTTTCCTGGTTTGTCATATTTTTTCTGTTCTTTTCCTTTATTTCTCCTCTAGCATCTTTGACTATATTGGATGCTGGTTGCTCTTTGAAAGAGGCAAACCGTCTCAGATCAGCATTTTGCAGGGGATTCATGTAGAGGAGTTTCCTGGCAGTATTCTAGGAGAGCCAGAGCTCTCCCAGGTTCATGGACACTTTGGTCACAGAACTGTGGCAGTGATTTCTTTTAGCTTCTACCAGTCAGCAGAGACCTGCAGCTATAGCCTGCCCCCAATCCAGGCCCTTCTCCCGATCTGCCTCACCAACACACTGCTCCCTGTGAAGATGGCTGGCCTGTGGTTTTCTTTGTTAGCCCTGTCCTCCTCTTTTCTCCTCTATCCCCCTGCCTCCCACTCATCTTCCCATGAAGACCCCACCCCATCCTCAGATGGCTGCCTTAGGTTCGTGTCCATGTTCCTGGGTGACCTGGGTGTCACAGGCAGCTCCTATTGCAGGGCCACATACCCTGACTAGGAATCATTGTGTTTTTTCTTTCTTTCAGGGAGTGCCAGCTAAGAGAGATCTGCCAGCTTTATCCGAGCTTTGCAGCCACAGGTGTCTTGTGTAGGTGCTTTCTCACACCCCCTTTGATCCTCACTGCTTTTGGCAGCCCTTTACTGTTTTTGGCAGCCTCTCTTAATAAGTAGTAGTTCAGATTACAGTGTGTTCTAGTTTTGCCGAAGATAGAATTTGCATTTCTGTTGCTTTCTCCTTTATTTTGGGTGATTTGGGATATGAAAAGGCGTAACTTTATTCTGCTCTCTTAGAACTGTCTAGTGTTGTGAATTTTCCTTGCTATGTGTTCTGGCATTCCTCCAGATTAGACATTAGCCAGAGCTCTCTGGACGGAGTTGGCACGAGCTGAAGCTGGGGTCTAACCATAGAAAGGAAAGAAAATGGGAGTTGAAAATAAAGTAGGAGGGTTAAAATAGAAATCCACAGCATCCCTACCTGTGCTGTGTGGCAGGAGGATTCTTTCCCTCTCCACCTGCACTTTGGCTGGGAGCGTGCTGCTGTTTGGATGGGAGGTCATGGCCTGGCTGAGCAGGGGATGAAAAACACCTGTCCCCTGGTCTGTCGCAGAGGAAGTTGTTCTGAGCCCAGCAACACTCAGCCCAGAGTGCGGAGAGCACACGCCTCTGCTCTGGACAGGCTGCAGGGCTCAGCTCTCCACCGCAGCCCTCACCAGGACCCGTCCAAGCACCCTGGGTTCTGGCTGATCTCCTAGTGATGGTTGCCAGGTCCTCCTCCCTGAAAACTAGGATCCTGCCTCAGAGGAGGTTTCCAGAGTTAAAGCTGTTGATGGTGTTTATATGCCTAAAGAAAACTTGCCCCTCCAAAGGGAAAGAGTTCACATGCCCAGACGGTACACCCAGAGAGGAAAACATGCCTCAGTCTCAGGCCAGCCTTTATATTATTACCTCTCAGATCCCCCCACTACCTGGAGGGAGGCATTTTATCTCCATTTTACAGATGAGGAAACTGGAGTCACGGGAGAGGCTGAGAGACCTTCCCGTGGACATACAGCTAAGAGATGGAGAGAGGGGTTTAGATGCAGTTCTGTTTGGTTCCAGAGCCTGGACACCGGCTCCCTTATCCCCCTGCTTCCTGCTCACCTTTTCATGAAGACCCCATCCCATCCTCAGATGGTTGCCTTGTGTGCATGTCCATGTCCCTGGGTGACTGTGCTGATCCTCACTCTGTGTCTTGCTTCTCAACCTTGGCTGTACTTTAGATGCTATTTAAGCTCCCCAGGGCAGCCAGTGACAGGAGACACTGGGCCATATCCTGCATGTCTTGGGCCCCCGTGTCTTGAGCAACTGTGTCCCCCCAGCCTTGGCACAGGGCTTGTCCTCTGGAATCAGATGCACCCGGGTTCCTCTCCAGCCTCTGTGATCTTGGACAAGTCACTTAACATCTCTGGGTTCAGTCCCTATTCCTAAAATAAAATGACCTATGATTGCTGCAAGTACAGAACATGGACTCTGGACCCAGATAGTCTCAGTTTGAATCTTAGCTCAGCCCCTTATTAGCTGTGGGACTTCGGTTAATCGCTTACCCTTTCTCTATTAGTTTTCTCATCCATAAGGTGTGAATAATTTATATGTCTTATAGGGAGGTTTAAGGATTAAATGAGCTAATAAGTGCTAGTCACTTAGAACACTGTCTGGCTTAGGGCAAGAACTCGGTAGGCGCCACATCCCGTGTTGTTACATTAATTATTGTAAATGCGCGACGAGGGCTCAGCCAACACACGGGCACACGTGGCTGTTGCTGCCGCTGTTATAACCTGTGCCCTTTGCTTCCTTCCAGGAGCTTGGGCCCCTGCCCCAGCCCGGCAGAGGCTGCGGAGGTTTGCCGTCGGGAGGAAGCCTGGTGCCCGGGCCCCCGGCCCAGCCCCGGCCGCGGGGAGTGGCGGCGCCCACGAGGTA